TGATTCCTAGATATTTCATTTTTTTGGATGCTATTGTAAAAGGAATTGTTTCCCTAATTTCTCTCAGTGAGTCTGTTATTTGTATACAAGAAGGCTATTGTTTTTTGAGTGTTGATGGTCACTCTAATCTTAACATAAACCCTAGAATGATTCCCAAACCCTAATCCTAAATCTAGCCTTAACCCAAACACTGAAACTAAACCTATTCCTAAACCAATCTTGAACTATAAAACTAGCCTAAACCTAACCTGATCCTTAAGCTTGACACTAACCCTAATCTGAACCACAACTTTTCCTATTTTAACCTGAACCATAAACCAAACACTAACCATAACGCTAACTCTGGACCTAACTTAAACCATAAACCTAACAATAAACCTAACACTGACTCACCCAAATTCTAAACTTACCCTTAATCATAAGCATAACCCTAACCCTAAGCCTAACCTAAATCCTAACCTGAACCTTAACCCTAAACCAAAATCAAAACCTAACCCTAACCCTAAACCTAAGACTAAAATTAATCTGTACTTGACCACTAGCCCTAAACCTACACTTAAAAAAGAAACAACCATCACCCTAATCGTATTCTTGTATTAGTACAATGCACTAGCCAATTGTGCCACTGGAGGTCCTCCTATTCCTAACAAAAATCTGAAACAGAAACCTAACACTAACCCCACTCTGAAACACAAATCTAAACCCAAATATAACTCAAAACCTTAAACTAACCCTAACCTTAAATTAACCCTAACCCTAACTAAACCAAACCCAGCCCTATACATAACCATAATCTGAACTCTATGCTTAACTCTACACTTAACCCAATCCTAAATAGTAATCCACCTCCGACCACTACCCTGACTGAAAATAAAACCTGACCTCTAACCCAACCCTAAACCTAATTTGAACGACTGACCCTAAACTTAACACAAATGTTGAACCTTAATCTTAAACCAAATCCAAATGGAAACAACCCAAAAAACAACCCAGAACTGCACACAAACCCAAACACTAACCCTAACCCTAGAACTAATTCAAACCCTCACCAGAACCTAAATCTAACACTATCAGTAACACTCAACCCAACTTCAAAACTAACACCAACTTTAACCCTTCTCCAAATATGAACCTGAACCTGAACCTGAACCATAACCATAACATGACCTAAAACCTAACACTATCTGAAACACAGACCAAATCCTAACACTAACCCCAACCCTAACACTAACCTTAACCCTAAACCTATCAATAAATCTAACCATGGACTTAACCTGAAACATAACACCAACCAAAACCTGAACCCTAACCCTAAACCAAAACCTAACATGAACTCTATACCTAACCCTAAACCTAAACCTGACCCTAACCCACCCCCAAACACTAACCATAGCCCTAAACCTCACCTGAACCAGGATCAGAACCCAAAACCAAACAAAAACCCTAAACCTAACATGAAACTGACCCCAATGTCTAAACCTAACCTGAATTCTCATCTGAAATGTATCCCCAAAGCTGTCCCTAAACCTAAATTTAACCCTAAATATAAACCTAACCAGAAATGAACCCTATCTCTAGCCTAACCATACCACGAACCCTGACACTCAACCAAGACCTAACCTGAACCCTAACCAGAAGCTGAGCCTAACCCTATCAGTAACCCTAATCCTAACCCTATACCTACCCCTAATCTGAAACCTAACCTGAGAACTAATACTAACCCTAACCCTACTCTAAATATGAACCTGAATTCTAACCTTAACCATAACCTAACCTGAACCTAACCCTAACCCAAACATAGCCCAAACCATAACACTGTCCCTAACCCTTACCCAAACACAAACCTGAACATTAACCCTATCCAGAAACCTAACTAGAAATATAACCCATAACATAAACCAAACCCTCAGCCTTGCCCTAATCCTAAACCTAACCATAGACCTAACCTGAAAGCTAATGCTAACCCAAACCCCAGCCCTAACCCTAAACTGAAACCAAACATGAACTCTATATCTAACCCTAAACATAACCCAAAAGAACCAGAACCTAAAACCTAACACAAACCCTAACTTTAACATGAAAGTGAATGAAAAACCTAACCATAACTCAAAACCTAACACTAAAGCTAGAATTAACCTGACAAACCCAAAACTAAATACTAAACCAAACCCTAACACTAAGCAGAACCAGAGCCCAAACCCTAATCCTAGCCCTAAATCAAACCCAAACATTCAACTGAACACTAAAATTAACCCTAAAACTAACTCAGCACTAACCCTAACCCTAACACAAACAGGAACTCTAAACATAACCCTAACCCTAACTCTAACATACACCTGTACACTAACCCTAATGCTACATCTAAACTACAAGTAAACCTTAACAATAACCCTAACCCTAACACACACAAACAAAAACCTAACCCTAACCCAAAATCGATCACTAGCCCAAACCCTAACATGAACCTGAACCCTAACAAGCCCCTGAACACAAATCCTAAGCCTAAACCTAACCCGAATTCTCACTCTAACACTAATTTAACTAGAACCTTAATTCTAAACCTAACTTTAAACCTCAAGGGAACCAAAGCTCTAAGCCTAAACTGAACATAACCCAAACATTAAACCTAATCCTAAACCAGAACATGACACAAACACAAAGCCTAACCCTAACCAGAACCCTAACCTGAACCTGCATACTAACCCTAATACAAACCCATAAAATGAATCTGAAAACTAATCTTAACTCAAACACTAAACCTAATGTTAGACCCAATCCAACTGTGAAAACTAATCCTAAACCTAACACTACCCTAATCCTGAGCTGAAATAACACTGAAGCAAACACAAAATCTAACCCAAAATCCCAACCCTAATCTGAATCCTAACCTTAACCCTATTCCTAACCTTAAATCTCACCTAAACCCCAGGACTGTCATCTTAACACTATTGCTAACATGAACCCAAACTTTAAAATAATACCAAACCCTAACCAATACCCTAATCCAAATGTGACTTCTAACCTGAAACTTAACCCTAACCCAAAACCTAAAACTGGGCCAGGGATTTAGCTCAGCAGCACCACACCTGCCTTTCAAGCACAAGGTCATGAGTTTGATCCCCAGTGCCAAAATAATAAAATAATAATAATAACCTAAATCTAACCCAAACTCAAAAATGAATCTGACCCTAACCACAACTGAATACTAACCTGAATCTAAAACCTAATAGGAAATACAACCTTAGTACTAACCCTAACCCTTACCCAAAATGTAAACCAAAATCTACTCCTAAGACTAACACTAATTGGAACCTGAAGCCTGCACCTAACCCTAGTCTTAACAGCCTTATTCCAAACCCTATCTCTATCACTAACCCTAACACTAATAAAAACCCTACCCTTAACCAAACTCAAACCTGAACACCAACCCTAAACTCAAACACTAACACAACCTTAATCCAAAACCAAAACTCTAACAAAAACTCTAACCCTGAACCCTCACCCTAACCTTTACTCAAACACTAAACCTAACCCAAAATTTAACATGAACCTTAATCCTAAGCCTAATATAAACCTGTATCTGAACCCTGTAACACTAACCCTAACCCATATTCTAAAACTAATCCTAACACTAACACTAACCCAAAGCCAAACCCTAATCTGAACTCTAACATGAACCATATACCTAAACCTATAACTTTATCCATGACACTTTAACCCTAACACTAACCCTGTGAATGTCACTCTAATCTTTGTGTTGTCACTCTAATCTTAACACAAACCCTAGAATGATCCCCAAACCCTAACCCTAAATCTAACCCTAACCCAAACACTGAACCTAAACCTATTCCTAAAACTCCCCTGAAACCTAAAGCTCAATTTAACCCTAGCCCAAACCCAAAACCTAACCCTAAACCTAATCTGACTCTTAAGCTTGACACTAACCCAAATCCAAACCTCTAACCTTTTCCCTAACTTAATCCTATCCCTAAATCAAACACTAAACATAACACTAAATATACACCAAACCCAAACCATAAAGATTCTTACCTGAACCCTAAACTTATTCTTAAATATAAACCTAATCCAAACCCTAAACCTAAACTGAACTTGAACCCTAAACCTGACCGTAAGTGGAAACCTAACAGGAAACCTAACCCTAACTCTAAAATGATCCCATAACCAACCCTAAGCCTAATGAGAAACCTAACAATAACCCTAAACCTAATCCTATTCCTAACATAATCTAAACCTGAAACATAACCCTACCCTTACTCTAAACCAGGAACACAAACCTAACCTAAATGTAACCCAAACCATAAAACTATAAAATCATAAACCAAACCCAAAACTTAACTTGAACTCAAACACTAACACTAATCCTAAACCCAATTCTAAACCAAACCCTAACACTAATCCTAATCCTATACCTAACCCTAAGAGAACCAAAACACTAACCATAACCCTTACACAAAAACTAAAATTAACCTCACTGAACCTGAACTTGAACACTAATCCTAACCTTAAACTGAACTGTAACTCTACCCTAAAACTAAAATACTAAACCTTTGTCCTAACCCTAACCAGATCCAGAACCTTAATCCTAAACCTAACCCTACCCAAAATCCTAACACTAAACTCAAACATACCCTGAGCCCTAATCTGAATCCAAACAGTAAAGCTAACCCTAAAACTAAAAATAACCAGAACCTGACACCTAAAATTAACCCTAATCCTAAATCTAATAGTAACCCTAACACTAATCCTAATCCCAAACCTAGCACTAAATTATAAATCTAACCCTAACATTAAAACTAAACAGAAACTCTAAATCTAAGATGAACCCTAACTCTAAAATGAAACCTAAAAGTATCCCAAACCCTCACCCTAACACTAACCCTTACCAGAACCCTAACCCTAACATGAACCTGAGCACTAATTCTAACCTTTAGCAAATCCTAAACCTAATCCCAAAGAGCTGAATCTGAAACCTAACATTAACAATAACCCTAACTCCAACCCAAACCCTAATCCTTACCCAAACTCCAACCCTAACCCAAAGCCAAACCCTAAATGGAACCTGAAACCTAAACTGAGCCATAAACCTAACTCTAGGCACAGCCTAAACTGAAACCTAACACTAACCCTAACCCTTAACCTAAGGGTTAACCTATCCCTTAAGCCCTATCCTAACCCTAAACCTAAGGCTAAACCAAACACTAAAGCGAACCCTACACCTGCCCCTTACCTGAGCCCTAATACTATCCCTTACCTGAACATGAACCCTAACCCTGACCCTTAACTGTAGCACTAGGACTAACCATTTCCCAAACCCTAAAAATATCCTTATCACAACACTTACCCTAACCCATAACCTAAATCAATTTCAAACATTAACCCTACACTGAACCCCAAACTGAATCCTA